TTCAGGCGTTCAAGCCCTCCTCGCCCTCGATGTGCCGTACTATTACTTTAGCTGCAAGGTGACGACAGCCACACTCTTTGTTACCACATTTTGATATAGGAACCATTTTATTCATTTCTTTTTACTTATCAAAGTAATTTGAAGGTGTTCTGTTTCTGTTAGGGTTCTATTTAATAGCACATTAATGCTTTTTTTTAACGGTTCTTATGTGGACGTTTTTGTCTGATCTAACACACCCCAGCTATTGTATCGGATAGGTGGTGTGTTTCTTCCACAAGTAAGTGCTTGGCCATTTAGAGCGCTTCTGTGTTTGTAATTCCCATCTTTCAGCTGCTGTGATCGTGTTTGTCTTTATAATGCATCAAGTCAAAACAAACATGTTTGCTCCCTTTCAAATATTTCTTCAGACCAACATGTTTCTCGGTTTGGAGGATTGTCAAAGAAAGACCTTTGGGCTTTATTCTGGGTTTTCTTTCAAATATACACAGGGTCCAAATTATCCTAACAGGATGTCATATATGAATTCAGGCCTCTACTCTGATTTTTATCCATTAAAAAGCTCTGATTAGGTTATAAAACCTCCTACAACCTTTATCATTGCTTAACAAAGTTTCAAATGAATGTATGTATATATCTGAAGCCTGAAGGATAATTTTAAACCTGATCATTTATGATCAGTTTTTCATTTTTAATGACCCTCTGATGTCCTATCCCCATCTCAACATGAAGAAAAGTACGGTTTAATTAAATTAATATGAGTTGATGTACATTTCTGACAAACAGATGGAGATATTTTCAGTTATTTTTCTTTTTTTTGTTTAGTTTTCTTGTTTCTTGATTGTTGAGTTTGTTACATGATACATGGTTGTTTAGCATCCTCCTCTCCTGCCTACTTCATCCCTAGTATTATTGCTCTTCCTGGGTTTTCTATGTATAAATGTTTCCTGTAAAATAACATTAATACTTTACAGTAATTCTCCAAAGTGTCCTCACTTAAATTGCTTTGCTGTGTGACTTTACATGTAATCCTAAGCCTGGTGAGGGGATCACCGAGGCTTCGTTACCCTCAGTTCAGAGTGAGCCAAAAGCAGGGGCCCCTACTCCATCCCCTCAAATGGTGTCCAGACGACCTCTAAGAGACTTTGTGGGCCTGGAGAATTGTGAGAAGCGTACCCATGATGCCATGCTGAACTTCAGCTTCTACCTGACGGTGGGGGACATGGATGAAGCCTTCAAGTCGATCAAGCTCATCAAAAGGTCAGTGTCGACGTGATAGCGTTGTATTCTCAGTTAAAGGCCAGGTCAGGTCTTAAATAGAGGAGACATGGAGACTAGTGTAGCGACAAGGGACTCATTGAGCTGTTTTATTTCTTTCATCACATCTTCATGAGTCTTTTTCGACGGGCCTCAGTTCAGAAGAAAAGCAGATCTCATGGGGTCAGCATTGTTATCACAGCCTTGAGCTGTTCACAAAAAGCTTTTTATCGTTTTAACACTTGATGTTTCTTAGTCTCATTCATGACCTTCAGTTGTGAGTGAAGTAAAACATTGACAGCTGCTTTTTAATTCAGTTCAGTTCAGAAATACCTTATTAATTCCAAAGGGAAATTTTAAACCCTTTTTAACCACATATTAATTATTTTAATGTATTTATTCTAATTCATAGGTATTAATTTTAAATTGTGAGAAATAGTGCTGTGGCCAAAATAGATCCATCTAGTGCCATCCTTTATTTTTTGGTTTTATTTAGATGCCTATAAAAGCCTTTATGGCACAGGACATAATTAAGGGTTTTCTGTACATCTCCTCCTAATAAAGGGAAGGAACCCTTCAGATTGTATACAAGTGACTTTGTTTGCTAGAATGATTGTGTATCCCGGGGGGATGTATATTTCTAAACACGTTGCGACAAAGAGACAGGCAGTGAGTCGCCAGATTAGTCAAAAACGGTCCCACTTCCATTTATACAAACATTACATGGTTTCGGCATTAGGGTGGGTCACTTGCATCTGATTGTGTGTCTGTGGGTGTGTGTGCGCGCTTGGTCATCGGGGAAAGTATCAGGGATTTCAGAGCATCACCAAACACGATCCTGCAGAGAATACGTGATTCCGTGCACTCATTCAGATTTTTGTAGCGTTGTTAGTTTCTCACGTACAAACATTGTGTAAAAGGAAATGGCATAAAAGCAAACACATGGTAGAACAGCATGACCAGCCGGATATTCCAGCCATTTTAATAGGCCTGATGACAGCTTTAGTAAGCTGAACACCAGTGGCTATTTATAAGACCGCCTGTTTTTTTAAAAAAAACATTATTTATTAAATACAGGTATTGTGTTTGATTCCTGCAAATCTACACCCACAGGACTGAGTTTCCTGCAGAAATAACCTGGATACTCTGAGACCCGATTCTGGAAGTAACAAAGGTTTTCATCGAGGTTTACAGTTTGCCTGCATCACCTTTCACAGTTTAAACAGGTTATTTTAGCCTGTTTTTTATATCAGTTAAATGTTTTGAATAATCAAAGAATCTGTAAATTTAGACAATCTATAACATTTAAATTTGACAGTAAATGACGAAAGTCTGTAAAAGAGAAAACATTTCATTTTCAAAATTATAGATTTCGTCCCCATTGTTTATTTGTCTTCAATTTAAGGGGCTCTTAACGCTGGCTTGAGATCAGAAAGTGTACAGATGATGATAATAATTTTGTTTTGTTTGTCAGAAATGTTCTTGTACGCTTCATGAATGGCTCTTTGGACCTGGTAGAATGGCCTTTCATGATGTTTACTAAATAGTTTATACTTTTTAAATAAAGATATGATAACAAATGCAGGTTTTAAAATTTTTTTCATGAAGTAATAGCATTTAACTTTCACAACAAATATCACAACAATTACAACGGAGTATTAGTGCCAGGCTAGAGATGTTTTTTCTTATATTTCGAGAATTAAGTCGTAATATTAAGAAAATAAAGTCTTAAAATTACAAGAATAAAGTCACAGCGAGAATAGTCATAAAATTATGAGAATAAAGTCATAACATTACGAGAATAAAGTCGTAAAATTATGAGAATAAAGTTGTAAAATTACAAGAATAAAGTCGCAACGAAAGTAGTCATAAAATTACGAGAATAAAGTCATAATATTACCAGAATAAAGTCTTAAAATTACGAGAATAAAGTCGTAAAATTACGAGAATACAGTCTTAAAATTACGAGAATAAAGTCGTAAAATTACGAGAATAAAGTCTTAAAATTACGAGAATAAAGTCGAAGCGAGAATAGTCATAAAATTATGAGAATAAAGTCGTAAAATTACGAGATTAAAGTCTTAAAATTACAAGAATGAAGTCATACAATTATTAGAATAAAGATTTAAAGTTACAAGAATAAAGACACAACGAGAATAATCATAAAATTTCCAGAATAAAGTCATAAAATTACGAGAATAAAGTAATATTTAGAGAATAAAGTCTTAAAATTACGAGAAACAAGTTGTATTTTATGACAACTATTAGAAGAAGCACTTTCTTACCTAAAATGAGGAACGTCGAACATTATGTTAAGTTATACTTCAGCATAGATTTGACAAATAAGGAAATATTTTGGCACAACGGCATCAAATTAGTCAAAGTGGACTCAAGTAGCTGTTTGGTGACGCTGGTCGGCTGTCATATGCTGGTCAGAGCTCAAAGCTTTCTTTCTGAAACAGGTTGTTGTATGATGACCTCATTCTTGTATTTTTACTGCTTTATTCTCGTATTGCTACGACTTTATTCTCGTAATGTTATGACTTTATTCTCGTAATGTTACGACTTTATTCTCATAATATTACGACTTTATTCTCATAATGTTACGACTTTATTCTCCTAATGTTATGACTTTATTGTCAAAATGAAAAATAAAAAGATCTCTAGCTTGGCCCTAATACTATACAAAAATAAATTTTTATTACCGTATATCTTTTTTTGTGGTCTTCATTTTTAAAACTGATTTTATAAATTTTTTTTGCATAATTTTCCACATGTTACCATGCCATTGAAGAAAATGTATCTACCTTTGTTTGTCGTTGTTTTGTCATTTAAAAACTTAAAACAAAAAGAAAATGGTGCTCTTTTAAAATTTGGTACAAAGGTAACAACAATGGATACATATTTAATATCTTTTTAAAATAATTAATAAAATTGATTCCTTAATTGTCTTTTCCTATGGATTTAATTTTTCTTTTTTTTCCCCCTTGCACAATTAAAATTATGTCGGAGTATCAGAAAAAGGCTCATTCTAAACTATTCTAATATAAAAACAAGCATTGATAGTATTATAGCATTGTTTTTTATTTGACCATCTTGACTTAATAATCAGTACAAGTCTATCAGTGGACATAATAAATGTGGGGTATGTTGTTAAACTTTATCCCTAATGCTTTAATTGCCCTTTTATCGGCTGTACGTAGTAATAATGTCAACAATAAGAACAACAGTAGCCAACGAGTTCATATATTTAGAAATATATTTATTGAATTTACAATAGTATTTAGTTGATGTGCCTCTTTGCTTGCTACCCTGTTGGACTCATACATAACTTAAATATTGGTCCCAATCTCCCATGTCTAATGGTAGCGCTGTTCTAGTCTCTTAATTTAAGGTGTATAGTATGTACCACAAGCAAGCAGAATTTGATAAGGAAAGCGATATATCAAATAAATGTAATATTCAGTCTTTTTTTTCTTTCTTTTAAAAATCCAAATGAATTCACAATATGTCAATATGTTTTCTCTCAATGTGTCAGTGACTGGAATAAATTCTGTTTCATCTTTTGCTTCTACCGATAGGATCTAATTTAGCTTTTTTGTTTACTAAGATCAAAACAATAGCTCTTAGTTTCTGTTTAGAACTGTTATTGATATAGAAAAGCACAGTTAAAAACTTGCTTTACTTTAGCACCTTGTTAGTTTACCACCTTACCTTGAAGATATGCTAATAGTAACAATATGTAATTACATTATAAGACACTTTAATGGATGGAGACAAGTATGAGGTAATCTGGTATTATCATTCCCAATTCTTAATTCTGTCAGGGAGCATTCAATAAGTGCGTTTTATAAAAATATGTCAAGTTCCAGCTTGATCTCTTTACAAAGATGCATTGAAAGCAGTCCACACCCAGGTTTCCATGTTAGCAACCATTTAGCTCACCTTAGGGTGATTTTAATGACAAACGGTATGAATGTATGTTTTAGGGCTGCTTCGCGGTATTTTGGGATAAATATGTGCTTGTGCTTTAAGCAGCAATAATTTGGTTATATTTAAAGGGATGGGAGCAGAAGAAACCATTTGCTGTAAGAACAAGTATCCAGCCTCTGTGGAGCCACAGGGATGCATGTAGTCTTTAGAGTCCCATCACAGACATCTAGCCAAAGTGTAACAGGAGCTATGGAGAACACGCTCTGGTCCATTAGTCGCGACTCAGCATGGTGACTCTACATAGTCGTTATCTAAACGTGGATGAAAATGTGATGCCAGCGAAGGAGGGAAGATTATAACCCGTGGAGCTAGGCAGTCATCTCGTCGGTGTAAAATGTTCCAGATGAGCATGGCTGCTGCCATTGTGGCCAGGAGGCAGGCTGCAATGTTCACGTAGCAAGAGTAGGAAAGGTGTGTGTAGGGCCCGATCCTGTAGAAGGTAACTAGACCAATCACCAGCACAAAACCTGTAGGAGCACAAGAAGGGGAACAAAAACAGGTCAGTTAAAATGCATATTAGATATTAAATGCAGTAAATATGCATACATTTCTACAAAATGTTGTTACAGTTGTAAGATCTCAAAATTAAAGGGTTTAGAATCATTTACATTTGAGCCATAATTGCTTTTTTTTTTTACCCATTTCAGGAAAAAAATGGCTGAAGTGGTTCATAAAAAAGTCGTAACAAAGGATCAAATCAATTAAAGACGCATATCTTTGCTGCCTCAAATTTCTAAAATACTTAAAAAAACATATTTTTTGATAGAGGCCATGGCTTTATCTAGAATTATGAGTTAATTTATTTAAAGGTAATTTATTTAGAGTATTTATCATTGTTTATCATTCTTTTCTTTTGCTAAAGACAGGACCCCATGGAAGCCAAATACGTTCTATTTCTTTAAATGGTATGAATTTTAAAAGTGCAGCTTTGGAAAGGTTCTAAATTTTTAAGCACTAATGTTTGATTGGGACATTTCTGCCCTGTTTAGAAATCATCTGTCAAATAGCAGCCTTTGCAGAATGATTTTTAGTTTTCAGCAGTTCAGCCGGTTAGCATATTTACCATCTACAGGGTTTCATTATTAACCATTATGTCGCTGCCAATTTTCCAGGAAACATGTTCATACATTTCCAGGACCACGAAAAAGAAAGGCTACTCCATTCCAAGCAATCTAAAATGTTCCTGTTCTATGAGTGTTTCCTTATTTATTAGTGTTTACTAAATATTTGGGGAAATCCTAAATAGACAGAAGTTCCTTTGCTATTTTAACATGGCGTTGGGGCTCTGTGTGGGGTCTTTGAATTAGAAAATCTGTTTCCTCTTCGGAAGAACTTCTGAGATTAGTCCTCAAAAGCACAAAAATATCAGGGCAGAGAATTTATTTTCAGAAAGGTCTTTGATATGTTTTGTCTCCTGATTTCCTTGTTCCACAGGAGTTTAACTCACGCAATAAGGATCTCTTGTTTGCATGCAAAGTTAGAAAGCCCCAGCCTTCGAAATGCTGCTATTTGTTTGATCTTTACTTTCATTTAGACTTATTTCTCCTGTGTATAAAGACAACAGTGTTCTCCAATGCTTCCTTTGACTTAATCTCCAACTTCAGGTGTGGTCTGTAGCTGTTCAATTGTTCCGCACAAATACATGACAGAAAAAGTAGCCCATCCTCAGTGGTCTAAAAAAGGGACCCAAGATAATGACTGGAAATAGGGATGTTGGTACTTTAGGATATGAATCAGTTTGTTTCCTGGAGTGGTCAGCGGCCACAGTTCATTTATATTTCTCTCTCCACTTCTACAAAAAGATGGCAGTCATTGTTTTAAGTAAGGATGTGGATAATTGTCTGTATATCATTGCGTGTCTGCCTTTATTTGGATGTAAAGAATGCAAGTGTTTGCTCGATCCGGTCATGTTTAACCTGTCTGGCTCCTTGTTCAGGATAATGAATAATCTCCTGTTAGTGGGGCTGTGTGAACCTCTCTTTTTGGCACAGACTTATCTCTCAAACTTCCTTCCCCATCTTCCCCTTTCCATCCTTCCTTCCTTCCCTCCTCACCACACCCTCCATGCCTTGAGGTTGATATATTTTCTGGAAATTTGACATGAACATCTAAATAATTCCCATGTTTGGCTGAGTTTTGTAAATGTATTCATCCCCACCAGTTTCCTTCCATTTGAATATAATGTTTTGTTTATTATTTAATGTCAAATCAGACCCTTATTATTGTTAGACCCTTATATTAAACATAGATGTCAGAAGAGTGAAAACCAGAGATTTTTCTTCTAAATCAGTCCCTCTTATTAAAAACAAAGGCTGCAGGCTGAATTTCTTTTGCTGTGCGGGACATAACAATGCATTTATTTTCGGTGTTGTAATCTGGAGGTGGAAAGGCCAGCACTGAGCCTTGAATCTCGACCAACTACTACTGATTAGATATCACTCTGTGGAGGTTAATATTGTTGTCCCACCCTTGCACACTTCATGAGCAGTTCCAAAGAATTTTGGCACGTCTGGAAATGAAAACATTCCACAGAAAAAGAGCAAAGGGTAAAAATATCTCCATTCATTCAGAACTGAAGCCCATTGACTGAGTCACTGGGGAATGGCTTGGTTAGGAATGGACTGGTTAATGGTGGCAGCTTTTACACTGGAATTATGGAAACTCATCACTGTTTCTTTTTGCCATCTTCACTTCAACTTAGAAGGAAAAAAAAGTTGTTCCTCTGAGTTAATACTTTGTCGCTCAGCTGTTTACCGCTGCTCTTCACATCACTGTCTGCTTTGCAGATCCAGAATCAATTTTTTTGCTCATTATATCAAGCTCAATCAGATTGAAGGCATCTATGAAATAATTTCTTAATGGCGTGGACGTGAACTTTTCCTTTCTAATAGCAAGCACTACTTTGATATGAACCCTCTCCTTGTATCTCTGGTGAAAGGTTTACTATCACCATGCTGGAAGGGGAACCTTCACCTCTAACAGGTTTCCCTCCAGGACCTCCCTGTGTTTAACTCTGCCCAGCTTCCAATCAGCTCTGACCTGCTTCCCTGTCCCTACATCCCCACAGCATGATGTTGCCACTTCCATGTTTCTTACAGTGGATGCATGCCCATGCAAGCACTTATGAATTTATTTCAGCACTGACTTTCATTTTGCTTCTCTTCCATAAATGTCAGATTTGCAGTCAGGTCGTACTCTTTGAACAACACTCAACATTTCTACTTCAGCTACACCCTGATTCGTGTCGCTCCGACTCAATAATTCCAAGAAAAGTATGTTAAAGTTTAGGGTTTCAAAGGGAAATAGTTCAAGTGGTCTTGATACTACATAAAGACTAAAACATCTGATTAGAATTTTAATATATTAAGGTTTGAATAATAATGTTAAAAAGCTTAAATACATCCTAATTACTTTCCTTTCTGTTAATAATACTTAGAACAGAAAGATTTAAAGGGGTAGTCACATTATATGACCTTTTAAATTTTATACACCGGTCACTAAAATCTGGTCACATGCAAAGTTTTTATGAAAGGTTATCATCTCCGGCCGATGTATTATATCTTTTTTTTGCTTTTTATGCTTTGTTTTTACTGTTTTCATCATAAAACAGGCCTATCTGTTTCTATTTACAATAAGGGCACAATGTAACCAGAGATATAATGTTGTTTTCAGTGGGTGAACAAAGAAATAATGGGGCTAAGAAAGAGTTGGGAAAATATTAAGAAATGTCAAAGATCCAGTTTGAATAAGTGTTTAAAAAAAAAAAAGAAAAAAAAAAGATTCCAAGAAAGAAAGGATAACAGTCTAACAACACTTGCATTACAGTATGAGCATTAGTGTTCACTGAAGAGGGAGTTTAAGCTGAGAAGGCATTCAGATGTGGTTTATTTGCATTAATTCTAATGGACAGGTTTTAGCCTTTGACTCTTTTATTTAATTTAAATATATTTTACTTTGATCATGCTTTACTTATTTTCGTTTGGAAGGAGTAGAAATCATCTTTTACCTTGATGTTTTATTAAGAGGATCTGGGGAGGATAAACTAGTACTTAGATTTGCTTTAGATTGGTTTGAAAAATTCATATCAGTCGGTATTTGACCAACCCTCAGCTGTTGCTTTACTGTGAGGTTTTTTGGACAGTTGGACTCTATTAGGCAGCTTATGAGATCACGTATGTTAATGTCTGCTCACACTGCTGGGTCCTTGATTTCTATTTAGGATTTTAAAAAGTATTATCAGGATGGATGCTTGGTGTGTATAAACTTATTTTATTGTGATCAAATGGATTTAGGTCTTTAATATAGGCATGTTATTTCTATAAGAAAGACCTAAATCTGACTGCATCTTTAATTCTAGACATGGAGAATATAAATAAAACAGCTGCATTTGAACCCTTCAACTGATCTTTACTGTTTGATTATGAGTTTATTCTGCATTGTTTTTAACAATTGGAGACATCTGATCTATTAGATTTATCTCATCTTGTTTCTTAATAGGTTTGTTGAACTTCTATGGTCAGTTTGCAGAACTGGCAAGAGACATTCTTTCCACTGAAAATCGTTATTTTTAGATGTCTAACCATGACTGGGACAAATTCTTGGTCGTTGAAGTCTGAGATATTTCTGTCTAATATGGAAAAATACAGTGACTTTGGGAGGACCTTGATCCTTTCTCCAAGGCCTTTAGATAAAGGCAGGCACGCGCTGTAATTGGAGTCCAAGTCACCAACAATAAGGAGGATGCTTTATTTGCTGCTTCACAAACACAGACATAAAAGGCCCATCTTATCTGGACTGAAGCAATTCCCACCCTGCTGTCATGTGTACTGCAGGATATTTTTCCAGCAAAGCAAACTATAAACACATAAACACTAAAGTTGTATGTGCACAGTCCCCCTCATGCAAGCCCCCCACACAAACATACGGTCCCTGTCGAAAACTATCTTTCCCGTTCATTACCCCTCCCCTTTTTTTCCTTCTTCAGCTCAGGGGTTTGCATAACAGGTAGTCACAGACATTTCCTCGTCCTGAGCAGGGATATCCTGGCGCCCAACAGTCGCTCCCTGGTCCGCTGCAGCTCTTGCCCGTGGATTCTGGACTAGGACTAAATTTAGATCCAGAGCAGATCCCTTCATTCTCCACTATTGCAGCCCATGCTACTGAAAAACTACTTCCCACAACACGATCCTCTTTTATTTCATTAGAGCAGGCTATGGCAGAAACAGTTTAAAGCTTGATTATTAATTAGTAATGCTAGTAATGGATTAAATGAATGATCTGTAATGACCACATCAGCTGATGTCTGTCTGTAATCATTTCATAGAGCATTAGAGTTGAGAGAGAATCCCCCTCTGTTTTTTTTTAAATAAGTAATTGCACATCAATCTAATACCTGACTACCCCTCTCTGCAGAACTGCTGCCAAACTGGAAAAAATTGAAATCTAAATAACAGCATTTTTTCTAGACTTTAGGAGGTAAGTGAGACACTTTGCCGATGGAACAAGACAGTTTGCATTTAAAAGAAGAAAGAAACAGTTGCAATGTCTTATTGCAAGAAGTTAATATTATATAATTATCTTATTTTAAGAGTAAAAAAACGAATTCCATTGAAAAGTCATCTTATTTACTTACTAAAATTAAGGGGAAATACACTCAATTTTTACTTAATTGTAGATTCTTTTGCAGTGCATATCTGTGAAAACAGATGCTTTCTGCCAGTGTGGGTGACTTCTGGCCTACTCGTCTTTGCAGACTTGTTCAATGAAGCATGGACAGTTTTTTTGCTAAATTATACAATATAAATATGAATGATTGTACATTCTTTCTCAGGATTTTCAGATAAAGGCCAGAATGAATGGTTTTATCAATTAAAGCAAGTTTTCCCAGTCCTCAAACAGCAAACCAACCCCAAACAATCACACTCCCACCTCCATGTTTAACTATTGGCATGCTGTACATTTTGCTAAAGTGCTGCATTCGTTTTACTACAGAATGTTTGTCCTGAAGTTCTAATGATTGTCATGACCATTTTTAGTCAATGTGAGACAAGGCCTTTGTGTTATTTTCGGTCTGCGGTTGTTCTGGCCTGTTTTGTAAACTCCTGCTGGTGTTTAATGCTTTCCTGGAGTAATTCTGGTTGGCAGGCCTCTGTTGGGAGGGGCTGTGCTGTGCATAAAGTATGAAAAGAAATGTTCCTGATTTTAATGCGTTTATTCTATATTCCTCCTTTTTGTACCTCTGTGGATTAAAAAAAAGAACAAAAAAAGGTCTAAACCTTAAAATTATTATTCTAGATTTAATAACAAAAGCTTTGATGCTTTGTCAAGTTTTTCATCCAGCCTATTTATTCACCCATTCCTGAATATATTTTTGCATAGTTTGTTGGACCATTGCAAGTGGCTCCATGCAGATACTCACTAGCTAGTTGGAAGAGCGCAGCGATGGCTTCCTCCCACCACTGGGACTCCTGTGTAATAAAGGGCAGCTCCATCAGGCCGAGAAGGAAGATCAGCTGACCAACAGTCAGCGCCACGGTCGCTATCAGGTTGCACGCTCGCATCATGTTAAACTGCACTTTGGGAGCAGAAGAAAACCGATGTCAAATCTCTGGGCTAGTAATGCAAAACATTAGTGCTTGACAAGCATTATCATTTTCATTGTTAAACAGGTGGCATTGTTTTTTTCTTTTCTTCTTTTTTTTTTTTTTAATGAATGGTGGACTGCCACTCTGTCAAACATGGGGAGGCAGTACTTCCAGTAGTACACACTGGACTTGCCAGTGGAAGTCAAGCATTTCCCAGATATGTACTTGAATGGCAGCTTCTCAATAGAGTAATTTAGGAAAGCGTTTGAATGTTCGTTTTTACCAGTCTTCTCAAAGGCTTGGAGAAAACAAGTAATCTTAAAATGTAGTTGTTGGGAACATTCTTGAATTCTTTGGTCAAATACAAACAGCTAGACTTCTTTCGGTGCATCATTTCTACATGACTGAAATTTGGATTTTGTGTTATATAATTTGCATTAAACTGAACTGCATGTGTTTGGTTCTAGTGTTGACCTTATGGTTGGATCATGATGGAAAGGCTGGTAATGAATTGGACACCTGTTTGTTACAGTTAAAATGACTGAGCAGATTTGAGCTAAAGTAAATGAAGTTGCCATAGAATTGTTGCATTAGAAAAACACCTGGTTAAGTTCTGGGTTCGAACTATTGATGCAGCGCCAAGTTTCAAATTTGTTTTCCATTGAAAAAATGTCAACTACAGAAATAAAAGCGAAAAAAAAACAAATACCATTAAGTACAGAAAGAGCTTATTACTGCTTTCCTCTTCAATTACTACAGGTAATTGTTGTTATTGAGTTTTTTGCAAAGTAGAGCCTTACATTTAACAGTGCTGTGGGATTCTTGGTAGCCTGCATAATCGGACCCCCATCCGAGGCTCTGACACTGCCTTTGACTCGCACCCTGGAGGTCATCACGGCCCCCGACGGGGCACATTTTCCATAGTCCCACATTCCTCTTGCGTCCGTCCTCCAGAGCTTGAAGGACCCAGCTTGGGGTGAAGGCTGCAATGTTGTTTAGGACTAAGGACAGCAGTGCCACCAACACTGCTGCCGCAACCAGCCTCTGGACGGCCATGCGTCGCCTGACGCCTGCCACCTCTTCCCCTCCGTGATGTCCCTCCTCAGTGTACCGTTCACTTCTGTCCTCTGGGCCAGAGTCGCCGGCGGTGCTCAGGGCCCCCTGACTCCCCTCCACGACCTCCTCCACGTCCAGCTGTGACCTCGGTTCTTCTGCAGCTCACTCAGACGATTTAGTAGGAGTGTTGCTTTACCTAAAGAACATCTCCATTCATCCTCATTCAGGGGTTGGTTGTCGTGGCAGCAGATTCTCAGCCCTCCTCCTCAGACAGCAGTGCAGGTACTTGGGGATTGATCCAACTGGCACCTGGGTCCATCCCACTGGCTTCCTCTGGCTGCAGCTTGACTCCTGGATCTCAACCCAGCTTTAGTTTGCCTGTGTTTAAACTTAAACTTTTTCTTTTCTTGCTACTCTTTTTGTGGAGCCTTTTGGTCTAGTTTCTTTTTTCCCAAAGTAAATTTAGCATTTTTTTAAATAGTAAATAAAAAAATACAAAGATTTTTTGGACAGTGTTGCTAGGAACTGACTTGCTAAAGACTTTGCTTAGACTAACTTCAACCCTCTTGATTTGGAGCGTCTCCACTGTCTGACTGGAACAAGAAGTCCTCTGGTCCACCTCCTGCTGCTTCTCTCTGTCTCCTGCCAACTGCTCTCTCTCTCTCTCTTTCTCTCTCTTGCACTCTGCAAACGCTTTAGGTCAGAGTTGAAATGTGGGAGAGCTGCTTTTCGTTACGGTCCGAGGCATCAGTGTGCAGATGCTGAGAGCTCAATACTAGTTGTACCCTCCTCCAGGATCACTTTAAAAACCATGATTCTATTTGCGAGTGTCTAAAAAAAAAAAAAAAAACCTGTTCTAGACGTCACAGCATGCTGGATTCTTTTGTCTGAAGACCAGGGGGCGTGTGCTAAAGTCCTCTCTCCCATGTGCAACAAACAGACTGGCAGCCAAAGTCAGCCAGCAACAGGATGTGTTTCCTGAGAGGAAAAGAGGATTGGAAAAGGGGCCAAATGTAGACCTGTCTCTTCTCTTGTCTTTCCTTTTCTGGCTCTGTGAATCTGTCCATGTCTTGCTCTGCAGCTTGATCTTTTAATCAGTGAATTCTGTGACCATAAAAAGTATGACTTGGCCGGCTTGTACTAACCTTCATTTATTTCTGTTGGCCTCAATCAGTGTACTTTTAGCAGGGCCCCCAAAGATTTGGGGTATTTCCTGTTGCTTGACTTTTAATAAACAACCCACATCTGTATCTGCTAAAGAAAAGAGGAGGGAGGTGATGCAAATAGAGACCAGATGGTTTTGGAATTTTCACTTAGGAGTTGAAGCTAAAGTTAAAAGAGTCGAGGGATCAATTTACATCAGAGAGGCCAACGGGGGGAAAAAGAAAATGGAAAGACATTTTAAAATGCTTATCCCACATCAAAATGTTTCATTTGATTTGTAATGTGACAAATACCATTAAATAAAAACAAAAACATATTTTTTTGGGATATATTGAAAATAACATAAATAATGGATTGTTTAAACTTTTTTTTTTTACACCTTCCAGCAGGATTGGGAATTCCAAGTGGGAACTGGAAGGGTTACGCATCATCAATGCTGACTTTCAAACCCAATATGGTGGCCTTGTGCATGAAACTTCTAAGAAGGCACAAAGAAACGCAAGAAACATTTATTAGCATTTGTTATTATTCTATCTTATGTTTTCCACACAGTAGGGAACAACCTATGTTAGTAAGTATGTTGCTATAAATATTGACAGATAAAAGGATGCTGTTAGATGGCCTTGTTGGTAGTTATCTTGGGGACTGAGCATATCAGTCAGGAAATCCCACTCCCTTTAAATGCTTATTTTCAACTGCAAGATTTTTTCTAATTGGTTTATACCATTTTTTTCTGTTATATGTTCTGCTGGGATCGGTGAATGTAAAATTTTGGTGGATAAATTAAGTTGAAATCAATCAGTCAAAGGGTGGTTTATTTTCCAGTCCTCACCTAAGGTGTCAACTAAACACAGCCAAAATATCTACCAGTATTTTTTGGTTCTCTGTGCTTATTGGCTCTGTAATACAGTTAATTTATCCCTGTTTACTATACTTGTAGTTGTCCCAAAGTTTGTCTGAACTTAAAGCTTTAAAATGCCCACATTGAAGACCAAAGTTTATTTAACTAAGGACTCTAGATGTGCAAAGCTAAGAGACAATTGTTACATTCCAAATAAATGTGTAATTGCAGCTGTTACTAATGTTGAAAGGGGGGATTAATGCACAATGCAATGCAAAATGTATGAAAACTTGATAATGTCCTCCCTCCATCTGATTCATTAGCTTTTTTTGAATTCTTTTTTTTTGTAAGTTTTTTTTTTAAACTCTCTTCCAGAAACTTCCAGTAAAAAATGTTACCTTCTTGCTCGTAAGTCAACTAAATATAAAAACTTTCAGGGAAATTAGGAGTAAACTGACTTTGGAACAAAATCAAAGGCTTAAAATACACAGAAAAATAGCTCTAATATGCATCATTGTTGCATTTTTCTTTGAACAAACAGGAAATCAGCGGATGTACGTACATCCACCATAGTTTTCACTGCTGAATAATAAATACCATAAGAATGAGCAGCAGCTCCTCGATGCAAACACTCCTTTCTCTTTCTTTTTTTTTTTTTCTGTAGTAAAGCGGTGTGGGAAAACATGGCACGGATGTGTGTGAAGACTCACCGGCTTGACGTTGCCCGAGTGTGCCTTGGGAATATGGGAAATGCCAGGGCAGCAAAAGCCGTGAAGGATGCCGAGGCCGAGCCTGAACCAGAAGCCCAGGTGGCCATGTTGGCCATTCAGCTTGGCATGCTGGTGAGAAATGTAAATTATCTTATTAACAAACTGTTGTTTAGAAACCCGTAGCGAGTCTGGCCTTATGTTATCTTTACATGCTTATTTGGAATGTAACTATTGTCTCGCTTCAGTATCCCAACTCCTTGTTAAGTAAAGTTTCAGTTATGTTTTCTGCTACAGAATCCGCTGTTCAGCATTCGGTGCGGCTGCATCCTCTGGCTACAAATAACACATCCTCCTTTTAGGTCCAAGCATGTCGCGGGACTTTCCTGACTGAAACTATCTATCCTTCCATCAACCTTTCCTGTCCTTTTACAGGAAGATGCGGAAAAGCTTTACAAGAGCTGTCAACGCTTTGACCTGCTGAACGCCTTCTACCAGGCTTCCAACAAATGGAATCAAGCTTTGGAGACGGCCGAGACGCATGATCGCATCAATATGCACACCACCTTCTACGAATATGCCAAATACCTGGAGTTCAGGGGCAAGAAGGATTTGGCTCTTGATTTGTAAGATGCATTGTTTTAACTGGAGGTTTTGTGTTTTACGTTTCATAGATTTTCTCTGGAATAAGAAGCTTTTCTGTTACAGCTATGAGAAATCAGACACACACCGAGCCGAGGTGCCCAGAATGCTCCAGGAGGACCCGGCGTCTCTGGAGATTTATGTTAACAAAGCCAAAGATAAGTCAGTTCACAGCCGAGGCCTGACGCTTTTTCATTATTTAAGTCTAACAAAATCCCTAAACTGTCTGCATGACATAGTGTTTAAAAATCACCCGTGTCTCCTTATTAAAACAGGAAAATCTATAAGTGGTGGGCCCAGTACCTGGAGAGCCAATCAGACATGGAGAGAGCGCTGCAGTACTATGAGCATGCTGAGGACTACCTGTCCCTGGTTCGAGTTCACTGCTACATGGGGAACATTCAGGAGGTTGGCATTTTAAAATCATGCCCAGAGAACATTGGAGAGCAATCTGTCCTGCAGGGAAATATTCTTATATCCTTATTGTTTTCAGCTGAGTAAGCTCGTATTGATGCGTTTAATTCTTCGGCTCCCCAGGCCTCCCAGATAGCCAACAGCACAGGTGACAGAGCAGCATCGTACCACCTGGCAAGGCACTACGAGAGTCACGATGATATTATGCAAGCAGTCCACTTCTACACCCAAGCCCAGGCCTACAACAATGCTATACGACTTTGTAAGGTAAAGTATGCCACTGGAATCCCCGACTCTTGAGTTTTTCTGGGCAATTTGTTCATTTTCTTTTTTTTCTGCACAGGAGAACAACCTAGATTTCCAGCTGATGAATCTGGCTCTACTTAGTAACCCAGAGGACATGATGGAGGCTGCATGTTACTATGAGGAGAAGGGCAAACACATGGATCGAGCAGTCACACTCTACCACAAGGTCAGTTCAGCGTACACAAGGTGGCAGCGTTGCAACAAATATCCAAGCTGAGTGCTTTCTGGTTTCAAGAAGCCATTTCTCAGGCAGGAGGCAGAGCTTTGTCAGTGTGCTGATGATTTCTTTCCTCATGTAGGCTGGTTACGTCTCCAGAGCTTTAGAGTTGGCAATCGCCACTGAGCAGTTTGATGCCCTTCAGCTCATCGCAGAGGAGCTGAACGAAAACTCTGACCCTGCTCTCTTCTCTCGCTGCTCTGAATTTTTCATCCAACATTCCCAGTATGACAAGGCGGTGCAGATGCTGGCGGCAAGCAGGAAGGTAGCTATGTGACGCATCTATATCTACCCAGGTGTGGATCAGCTCAATATTTCCTACGCTGACGTGTCTTTTTGATAATGTTCAGTACTCTCAAGCCGTGGAGCTTTGTTTGAGCCAGAACCTGAATATCACAGAGGACCTCCTGGAGAGAATACATCTCACTGAATCAAAGGATCTGTCTAAAGAGGCCTGCAATAAACTGCTGGAGAAGATAGCGGACTGCTGCATGAGTCAGGGCAGCTACCATCTGGCATCCAAGTTGTACACACAAGCAGGCAACAAACACAGGGTACGATATGATGGATTTTCTAGTTATTTAGTTGAAAATCTGGTCCTGATCCATTCATGAAAAAAGATTAGTACCTCAGATGTTTATCTATACAAAAACAAGGTTAGTTCATTAGCCCCTTATTCTTAATGACCACTTTGAAGGTTTAAAGTTTAAAGCCTTTAGATATAATTTCTTTAATGAGTTCTATAACGTCATCAAAAGTATTTATATCCACTCATCTTCTATATTTTGTCACATAACTGCAAAACTTCAATAGATGTAACTCAGATTTTATGTGAATGATAAAAAAGGGGAGACTCCTTTAAAATAGGTGAAGAGTGTTTGCTTTACATAACTACAGATAATTGTTTTTTTTATTTCAATTCCTTTTCCATGTATCTGTTTCTTTTAAAGGCCATGAAGGCACTCCTGAAATCGGGCGACAGAGAAAAAATAGCCTTCTATGCCAACCTCTCCCGAAAGAAAGAGCTTTTCATAATGGCTGCCAACTATTTCCAGTCCCTGGACTGGCAGAAGAACCCGGAAAACCTGAAGTATATTATTGAATTCTACACTAAGGGCGATGCTCCGCACCTGCTTGGTGGCTTCTATGAAGCTTGTGCTCAGGTAGATCACCACTTTACAAATGGTTTTATTTCCTGTTTGAGAAATTATTTGCATTTGTATAGTAGTAATGCATGTATCTCCTTAAATAATATTTCTGATTCAAAAAGATACAAAAAAAAAGTTCACTTAAAACCTGAAGTTATTAATTATTTGGTCCCATTGATTTAGGTGGAAATTGATGATTACCAGAACTATGAAAAGGCTCTGGATGCTTTAGCCGATGCTATCAAGTGTCTGTCCAAAGCAAAGCAACTTCCAAGAGGACAGCAGGAAGGGAGGTTGGCTGAACTGCAGCAAAAGATCAACCTCATCAAGAAGTTTGTCCACATACGGAGGTATGATTATGTTTTAGTG